ACTTTAAAGACCTTATGACGGGTTTTTTTTTTTAAAATAGTGGATATCAAAATTGCATGACAATGTTGATTTGAAAGAGATTCCGCCAAAAAAAATCCTATATTTTATAAAAAGAACGTGTTTTTCATGAATTTAAGTTGTCTATGCTCTAACCTGTGTGTGACGTCACAGCGGGTAATGCCCATGCATTGAAAACCATGGATCTATGCCACAGGACTGCCTTTTCTCTCTTCTCTCCACTGATGCCCAACACAATACTGCCCTCTACAGGTGACAATTGCTCACTACACATAAATTGCCGTTTTGAGAGTGAAAAAGTGTCCGAGGTGGGATTTGAACCCAAGTGTCTGGATTGACAGTCCATTGACACAACCACTGGACTATATCAGTGACAACGAAATGTGACATTCTAGTAGTTACCTTAGACTCGCTGTACACGGCCTTGTCATCTTGAATATCCGCGAAAAAAGAACGAATACCAAATTGTAAACAACTTACAGCGTTGAAACGTACCCGTTCTGACGTCACCAAGGGCTGTGAAGTTTTTTCGTTTCTAAGGGCGTTGCTATGGGGTTATTTCGATTTGGGGGGATCAGACCAAAAAAACAACAACTGATTTTGAAACCTTTAGTAGTTCTCTTCTAATATAAAATGGTATTAAAACTGTATTTCTAAATAAATCAAACCCGTCATAAGGTCTTTGAGTGTTTTATGTTTTTTTTTTAGGTCCTGGCAGAATTTAACCAGATCACCAGCTCCAAACTGGGCAATGATTTCGTTGAAGCATTGGATTGCCTAACGACACAGTTCATCAAGCTCTTTAAGGCCAAAAGGGGGACTGCTGGCGCTAAGCTTTCCAAGATTGTCCGGCACCTCGATTCCTGTGTAAGTTCATAAAGCAATAACAAAAAGAAATGACATATGATTGTGTTTGGTGTTGAAATGCACATATGTGCAGCAGAGGAGATGGGGAAAGGAGAAAGGTAAGTACATCCCCCTCCATTTGTCTTGTCTGTCAGTACAGTATTTTACTTCTATGTATAATTATGAAAAAGACACAACAAGCAGTGACACTTGTAGGTGATAACTTACTCATTACTGCTTTAACAACCTTAACCTCCACCTGAAAAAGACATTCAAATAATACAGGGAAAAAAACAGTACAAGAAAGAAAGTGACAAAAATGAAAGTAAAACTTGAAGCTGTTATATCTGCTGTAACCTTTTGGCTAAAGCTAAACTGGGGAAATACACTTCGTTAAGGCGGGTTTATTCTGTCCAGTGTGAATGGCACGTAATATATTAAAGGACCGTGACGTCGCCCGGTCACAACACACTTGACGGTAACTCTACATTTCTCAATATAATGAGTTAACCACAGTTTGGGAATAAAGTGGCACTAACTGTGTGGGGGAAAAAACATTTAAAATCCACTCTCAGCCCAAAAAGTTAAACAAGGACTCACAGGGCTCTTAAGTCTGCAAAATAATCATAAAAATGGCCTGTTGCGTGTTTTATTTGTTCACAACATTTTACTTTTGTGCACAAATAACATGCATTGTTAATGCATGGAGGAAAAATTTGGGTATCCGAGCTTTAAATTCAGGAGTTTTGCTTCAGGAGGAGACACGGGAGAGACACAACATTTATTTCACAGTCAAAATCATGAAATGACAAAGTATTATAAGTAATGCATCATATTTAGATGTTTTATTTTTTTAACAGATCTTTCTCAAATGGAAATGGACACCATCACTTTCAATTGACCTGAACCCATAGTCTCCTCCTAAAGGAGAATCCTCTGTGGCAGTTACAAGGAGATCCAATCAGGACATGTGTGAGAAGGACGCAGCTAAAGAGGTCCTGCTGCATTTTGTATCATAAGATTTTTGGTACAATTGTAGATTGTCATTTTACATTTTCCACGTGTTTGTAGATGGTGGAACTGCAGGAAAACCCTGGTGACCGAGAGATCCTTAAAGATTATGATTCTGTGAGATCACTAAGTCACCGCTCTCGAAGACAACTTGTCGACCTTCTCGTCAGTGACATGAGTGAAACACATGGGTATGTTGTATCAGTTATTACTCTAAAGTTCCTTCTTACAAGTGGAAGGATATTTACTCTAAATAAAATGAAAATCACTTGAAAGACCTTTCACAATAATCACGTTTCAATTCAGTTTCTCTCAGCACTGTTATTGATGCCCCATTGTAAGATAAATAGTACTGATCTCTTTTATAAATGACCTAGGTAGATGTTCTCCTGTAGATTATCTCTTGGTTAGGTCCCCGTGAAAATATGTACTTGTAGATACTATTAATTTAGCCTTTTTATGTAACCATGAAGTCCCTTGACCATGAGTGTTTTTCTTTCCTTAGACAAATGCCTTCCCGAAAACAAAAAGAAAGCTATTCTCTTAGAATTATCACACTTTTTTCTTCATTGAAGGATCCATTTTCTCAAAAAGGTTATGTAAGTATTGTTAATGTATCCATGGAAATTGAATTTGGTTTATCTACACATGTTTTGTGTCGGTAATGGATATGTATAGATACCAATCATAACTGTACACTTTGTTTTCAGACTAATCTCTCCTCGTAATGAGATGGTGACCTCCTATTTGCTTAACACAATATCTGCAATACAATGTGAACAATAAGTCCACATTTCCACGATGTTGATAAAGACGACATTGTGTGTAAGTGTTTTACTGTTTCTTCCTTGTGTGACGTTACTGTGACTTGCGTTTGATTTTTATTCATATCACTCTTTTGATTGTTTTCTAGCGGCCTGTAAGACTTATTATGAGACGGTTCGCAGGAGCCATCAAAATGCCAAGCCAGAAAACTCATTGAGGGCGGATGTGGCGAAGAGTTCAGCTCAGAGTCGAGCGAGAAGAAAGAGGGTAAGACTAAACTGCATCGCACAGTAAGGCAAGGGAGGTTTATTTGTGTAGCACAATTCATACACAAGGAAACTCAAAGTGCTGAGCAAAAGAAAGCATTAAATAATCACAGTACATTAACAAAGATAAATATAAATTCCCTCAGTTGTAGCACAGCTAAAGTGAGACAGGCCTCTTCTCTGACAATGTTTAAAACCAGGTTAAAAACAGTTCTGTTTAGCTGTGCTACAACTGAGAGATTTTATATTTATCTTTGTTAATGTACTGTGATTATTTATTTTAATGCTTTCTTATTTTGTTCAGCACTTCGAGTTGCCTTGTGTATGAATTGTGCTAGACAAATAAACTTGCCTTGCCATCGTACTTCCTGGTTCTGGTCAGGACTTGAGCTGCTGCATTTTGAATGTACTGCAGCTGTTGTTACAGTAGTCTAACCTACTGGAGACAAATGCATGGATAAGAATCTCCAGGTCTGCTTTAGACACTATGTTTTTGATCCAGGAAATGTTTAGATGGGAAAAAGGATTTGATGTGGCTAATAATATTTACTGATTCTTTCAGCCGCTGGAATCGAGACTGATTGTGCTAGAAAGTGACAAAGTGGAACTCTGGAAGTCCGCCACGGTAGACCTAATGTCCAATGAAGAAGAAGGCGTTGTGGACGGTGTCTTTGGGTGGATTGTGCAGTTGCCGTCTTTTCGCAAGCCGGAGTTTTCTGAACTCTGTCAAGCTGCAGTCCTGGTTAGAGGCGGCGCGGAAGTACAGAGCCACGCACATTAAGCGTCTCTCTAGAACGCTGCCAAATTACAACCCAGAGGAGGCTATTTGGACAGTTCAGAGTTGTCATTTTTTAATTACCTATGTGTGAGCATAAAGCTGTGTGTGTGTTTTAATAAAGCTCTCTTTGTATGAACATATTCCTGGAAAATGTTCATTTCCTCTATAAATAATAATATGAATATATATTTATATAAATATTACATTAATTATGAGGCAGGGTGACCAATAGTGACAGATCTGCCAGCCAGTCACGAGAGATTATACTTATCTGAAAGTAGTGATTTCATCCAATGGGGAGTAAGCTTCATACAATGGGCAGTAAGCTACCAATGGGGAGTAATCCCACGTGGGCTGGCCACATGTGATTTTTCAGCCAATCACGAGTTTGAAAGTAGTGGTATCCGCCAATGCTGCTGCATTCATATGCTAATTAGGGCCATTAGCGCTCGGCCGGCCGCAGTGTTTCGCTGCATTCATATGCAAAGTAGGGACATTAGCATGGTATGGATGCGGCAGTTTGGAGGACAGGGCACCTTAACTGAAAACTTTGAAAACTGCCTGAGATACCCGAAAAAGAGCGTGATTTCCTGCCGTTTAGGGTGACGAAAATCTAACTTTTCATGCAGTGTATTGGGCATATTTTTAGTGGTAGGGGAAACCGGAGTACCCGGAGGAAACCTATGCAGACACGGGGAGAACATGCAAACTCCACTCAGAAAGGCCCTGGTCCGACCGGGATTCGAACCCAGGACCTTCTTGCTGAGAGGCGAGAGTGCTATCCACTCTGGCGGTAGAGTGGCCGAGGACCACAGTTATGTAAAAGAACCACAGAGGACCAGAGTTATGTAAAAGAACCACAGAGCACCAGAGTTATGTAAAAGAACCATGGAGGACCACAGTTATATAAAAGAACCATGGAGGACCACAGTTATATAAAAGAACCATGGAGGACCACAGTTATGTAAAAGAACAACAACAACAGTAAAACTTTTAAAAACACTAAGAACAACAACAACAGTAAAACTTTTAAAAACACTAAGAACATAAACAACAATAAAACATTTACCTATTTACATATTTAGATTTTGAACTTCTTCGGGATTCTCAAGCTGTATTTAGTCTCCCGCAGATCTCTTAACGTGACCCTTGCCATTTTCATTGGAGAGTACTTCAACTTTATTTTGTTGGCCATTTCTGTAACCTATAAAGAGGAAACCAAAAAATCCGGGTTAGGGTAAATCAGGAAAGATCACAACGTTTGAAGTAATGCTCAAATGAAAAATGTATCACCTGGCTCGGGGATTGCTTCCGTTTTAGGGTTGCCTGTCCAGTCCCCCCGGCATTCCCGAGCAGCCGGCGACGCACTCTCTCCAGATGTTGGGCAGGGCCGACGGCGGAGGAGGTGGAAGGGCCAGCGGAGGAGGAGGAAGGGGCGACGGTGGAGGAGGTGGAAGGGCCGGCGGAGGAGGAGGAAGGGGCGACGGCGGAGGAGGTGGAAGGGCCGGCGGAGGAGGAGGAAGGGGCGACGGCGGAAGAGGAGGAAGGGGCGACGGCGGAGGAGGAGGAAGGGCCGACGGCGGAGGAGGTGGAAGGGCCAGCGGAGGAGGAGGAAGGGGCGACGGCGGAGGGGCGACGGCGGAGGAGGTGGAAGACACAGGAGTGGCCTTGTTCTTGCAGCTTAGTGCTATGAAGCATTGGCGCATCTCCTGTGCCTTCTTTACAGTTTTGTACAGTGCATAAAAGCGTTCCTGTGTCCATACATAAATACATACATACATAACCCATACATAAATTGTGCCACACTCTCCCTGGTGTTCCGGTCCGTGTTTTGTTCAAAGTTCTGGAGAGGAAAAAAGTGCAAAAATGAGAAACCTAGACGATAACAATGGGTACATGATTCTTTTCAACTTACATATGTGGACACCGCCGTCCGTATGTCCAGAAATCCGGGCTGGCCCTGGAGGCCCATGTCCTGCCACGCCCTCTGCATATAACGGTGCAGGTCCTTCATGACACCTTTTCTGGTGTTCGAGAAAAAAAAAGGATTGCGCGGGACGCAGCGATCCCGGACAACAAGCCAGCGGAGGCACCATTTATACTCCTCGGTGGTCAGAAATATTTGAGCCACGCCGTACTTGTGGCTTGTTTTATGGTTAGTGACCTGCACAAAAATGAAAGTGTATAGCATTTGGAAATTCTGTAATGGGCGTTTCACTTCTGGATGGAAATTGAGCTTACGTTTATGAGGTAGCCTGTTTCGGCGTTGCCTTGGGCCTCCTCTACCTCCCTGGCCAGCAGATTGGTATAAACACAAGATCTGTGGCCATATATGGAGGCCAGGTAGGCCGCCAGGTAGCCAAAGAAGTGAAACCGTGGCACAAAGTTGTCCAGAGACGCAGCCTCCACCTCATCTGGAGAGACACAATTGATTTACAACCCACTCAAAGTGTCAGGTTAACACATTTTGAAGAAGGATATTACCCAGGAGGGAGGGGATGCGCGTCCTGCACACCTCCATGCAGCGCGTCATGTCCTCCCGGGAAATCAGCCGGTCGAGCTTTTTGGCTTTGACCGCCTGTTGGTGAATAGTCACTCGCCAGCTGAAATCCCGGGCCAGCTTGGCCACCTCATGGTGGAGGAGCCGGACGCGCTGCACGGAGACGCGCATGGCCTTTGGTCTGTACATCATTAAGTATTCAAGGAAGGATTTGGCGTTGGCCAGGAAGACAATTATAGTTGTCGGTTCTTTCCCAAGAGCCTCCAGGACAGTCTGGTAGCTGTATACAAATATTTCAAGGTTAAACATGTATTTTGCTTTCAGAAAAAATGCCTCGAAATGTCTTTCATACTCACGCTCTGATCATGGCGATGTTTTCGAGGAACGTCCAGTCTCAGGCCCGCTGGGACTGGACGTCCCTGGTCATGATTAAAAAAGCAACAAAGCATTTTGCCCTGGTTGCCTGGCTCACAGAATTCTGCTGTACTTTTTCTTTTGCAGTTGCTCGGAATATATGACTCATGTAGTCCTCCATGCTGTCCTCTGCAAGTACAAAGAAGCATTTTGTAAAATTACAAATTACGGATGCTCTTGGGAAAAGCGAAATTGTCAGTGCTCCCCCTCGTCCAGTCCATGAATAATGCCATGATGGCGGGGTGAACAGGCAAAGTGCGTTCCTCCTAAAGATAAAACAAGTTCACAATCTCAGTGGGAAAGGTCAAACTACCTTTGTCACATTTTTACTCACGCTTTGGTCTGCTGCAATGAGGAGAACATTTTGCCGGATGTCCTCAATATCTTCATTTTTTAGTTTACCCTCTGTCTCCTCCTCCCCCTCTGGCTCCTCCTCTTTCTCCTCCTCTGGCTCTTCCTCCTCCTCCCCCTCTGGCTCCTCCTCCCCCTCTGGCTCCTCCTCTTTCTCCTCCTCAACAGCAAGCGGCCCTGACGACCGATCTTCCTCCTGGCCCTCCTCCACTTGCAAAGCTGCAAGTCCAAAGAAAGATGATGCAGAAATAAAAGGTAAGTATCAGAATAGGTAGGTGAAGTGTCTTGCCCAAGGACAACAGTAGTGTACACATGAGTGACTGAAAACATGTCTTTATTAAAGTAACCTGGTCCTGGTCGATGTGCGCATGCGCTGAGCAAGCAGCAAGTCTGAAGTAGCTCCGGATATTTTGTCGCGTTTGTCGCCCCTGTGCCAAAAGAAGCGCGGGCTACAGAGTTAAAAAACTTCAGACCAGTGGCTTTGACCTCCTACATTATGAAGACACTGGAGCGGCTCGTCCTGCACCTTCTCAGGCCTCAGGTACATCACGCACAAGACTCACTCCAGTTTGCCTATCAGGAGGCTATCGGAGTGGATGATGCCATCCTGTATTTGCTGCACCGGACCTACTCCCTCCTGGATCAATCTGGTGGATATGTGAGGATAATGTTCTTTGATTTTTCAAGTGCATTCGACACAATTCAACCAGACATCCTCAAACAAAAGCTGGAGAGGTTAGGGGTTGACCGGATCTTCATCACGTGGATCCATAACTATCTGACGGGCCGGCCTCAGTGCGTGAGGCTTGGCCACACCACTTCGGATTATGTCGTGAGTAATGTTGGGGCTCCACAAGGAACGGTTCTTGCTCCTTTTCTCTTTACCATCTATACATCTGACTTCAAGTACCACTCTGACACTTGTCATGTTCAGAAGTACTCGGATGACACAGCCATTGTGGCCTATGTCAGAAATAACCAGGAAGAGGAGTACAGGAACTTGATCACTGCATTCTGTGATTGGAGCACCAAGAACTCACTTACTCTGAACACTAACAAGACCAAAGAAATGACTATCTACTTTGGCAAGAAAAAGAACACTTTACAGCCAATAAATATTCATGGACAGGACATCGAACGCGTGCACACATACAAATATCTAGGTGTTCACCTGGATGATAAATTGGACTGGAACATCAACACAGAGGCGCTCTACAAAAGGGGTCAGACCAGGCTCTTTTTTCTGAGGAGGCTGAAGTCCTTTGATGTGTGTAATCAAATGTTGTCCATGTTTTACCATTCTGTTGTGGCTGCTGTTCTCTTCTATGCTGTCATTAGTTGGGGCAACAATATATCGGTCAAAAACCGTAACAGGCTGGACAAACTGGTTAAGAGGGCGGGGTCAGTGGTTGGGGGGGTCACTGGACTCTGTTGAGGCAGTGGTTGAGAGGTGCATGGGGAGAAAGGTCCAGGCCATCCTTAGTAACTCCAGGCACCCTCTGCATGGGACTCTGTCTGCTCAGAAGAGCAATCGATCGGATCGTTTCCTCTCCGTATACAGCAGGACTGAGCGCTTCCGGAGATCCTTCATCCCTGCTGCAATTCGATTTTTATAACGGCCATCGCTGATGTAAATGTGGGGGGGTTTTAATTTTTTATTATATTTATATGTATTGTCTTTTTTATCCGCTGTTTTGCTACTAAGGACAACTGAATTTCCCCTCGCTGGGATGAATAAAGTATCTATCAATCAATCAATCAATCAATTATTTACACTGAGGGATGGACGGGGCCGCCTCCTCTTCTTCCTCTTCCTCTCCTTCCACCTCCTCTTCTTCCTCTTCCTCTCCTTCCACCTCCTCTTCTTCCTCTTCGTCCTCCATCTGCAAGTGTGGTGACCCCGTCTCCCCTACATCCTGCTCCTCATCAGATGTGTCAATCTGCAATGAACAGGACACAAAACTGCAGTTGTAGTACAGTAGGTCCCATTTCGTTTTGTCGCCTTTCACGCGTGAATTGCACGAGGCTCATGCGCGAATCACGTGTCTTTTCTTTTTTTCCCCCCCAGTGACGCTGCAATGACCAAAACAACCACCAGGTGGCACTTGTGAGCAGGGTTACATTGGCGTCTCATCGCTCTTTCTTCTCTCTTCACCGGACAACTATCTGTGGCTTTAAGCCTAGCGTACTGTACATCGGACTGGCAACTGATTATATCCGTCGCCTACTGTATGAGTTTCTGCCCCGCGCACATCGACAATCTGGTTAAAACGGGCAACTCCTTGTAGCAGGCCAGTCTCTGGAATAACCCGCAGACATTAAAACTACTGCATATAACGTAAACTTTTGCATCACGTTGGTGATCTTTCCAAAAAGAGAAAATATCGTTATGGAAAGAGAAACTATTGGTAATATAACGCTGAACGTTATTTGACTCAAACAGCTCCGCTGGTGTCTCCTCCCACTCAGAAAAAAAGCAGACGCCTTTTCTCTGGCATCTCTAACATTTATAATAAATACATAAATATAAAAATCATAATGAATATGCTTTCAAATAATTTAGCAAGCTGTAATTCATTTATTTTAACTCCCTGCCAAACTTCTCTCGCTGCTCTCTCCTCCGCAAACCACTAAATGAGGAAAAGGGAATATTCACTCAATCTATTTTGAATGTTACACATACAATATTAATATAGTCTAAGCACGTGTACCACCTGTAGCCCGTGTATTTACCACAGACTGTAAGTATTAAAGTAATGAGGCCCCTGCTTTAGGCCTCTGCTGTGAGGCCCACAGTCATCAGTCTCGGTGCCTCTGTGTAGATCACACGTCTGTCCTCGGGCTGGAGTGTTCTGAGGCTTTAAGCGTGGAGTCAGGAAGGAGCGATCCTGTTTGTCAGCATGATTTTTTAGTTTACCCTCTGGCTCCTCCTCCCCCTCTGTCTCCTCCTCCTCCTCCCCCTCTGGCTCCTCCTCTTTCTCCTCCTCAACAGCAAGCGGCCCTGACGACCGATCTTCCTCCTGGCCCTCCTCCACTTGCAAAGCTGCAAGTCCAAAGAAAGATGATGCAGAAATAAAAGGTAAGTATCAGAATAGGTAGGTGAAGTGTCTTGCCCAAGGACAACAGTAGTGTACACATGAGTGACTGAAAACATGTCTTTATTTACACTGAGGGATGGACGGGGCCGCCTCCTCTTCCTCTCCTTCCACCTCCTCTTCTTCCTCTTCGTCCTCCATCTGCAAGTGTGGTGACCCCGTCTCCACTACATCCTGCTCCTCATCAGATGTGTCAATCTGCAATGAACAGGACACAAAACTGCAGTTGTAGTAGTAGTCAGGAAATGTAAAAATTGTTAAAGCAATTACTAGGTGAAACTCACAATGATGCTGGGTGTTTTGCGTGGCAGCGGCGGCCTCCTCCTCGCCTGGCGGGTTGAGGGTCCCGGCTCTTCCTCCCCAGCGCCACGGAGCTCCGCCACTTCGCTCTGTACAAAGAATTAAGATACACATGTAGAAATATGAAGAGATAGGGATTTAGATAAACACACTAAAACATTTTACCTTCAGCCTCGCCACCTCTGCGAGGAGGTCGTCCACCCTGCGTACACAGGCTGGCCGGGCGCACTCCTCCCCATCATCCTCCTGCCGAAGGTCCAGCTCGGACACCATGGGGGGGTCCGGGTTGGAGGCCCTGAGTGCCGCCAGCTCCTTCAGGCACTCTTTTTTGGCCAACCTGTGCAGCAATTTCTCCTTCTGGTCTTTGGTTATGTCCTTGTGCGTGACCATAATATGTTTTCTGATATGGCCAACTCTGGCAAAACAGCCTCGGACGGGACAAATTCCGGCAGACGTGGCCCGCCGGCCGGTGACGAGCCGGTTTTGAATGTCCCTTTCCTTCGAGTTGGTGATGGCATGGTAGGTTTGCACATGGCGGCTCAGCCTCTCTCTCTTTAACCCACAAATAGGGCATATACCAGCCTTTTTGGTTTTAGTCATCTGAAAAAATTATTAGTTTTTAAAAATATTTCTAGAGAAGCAGGAACTGTAATTAACAGTTTGGACTATACATCTCCGAATAAACAGATTGTCATACCAAACTAACTACCACACTCCTAATTCAACATAATCATCTCCAAAAAGACATAAAAAAAAACACACAAAAAAAAGACACACACACACACACAAGAAGACACACTCACACAAAAAAAGACACAAAAAAGACACACACAAAAAAGACACACACACACAAGACACACTCACACAAAAAAGACCCACAAAAAACATACACAAAAAAAAGACACACACAAAAAAGACACACAAAAAAAGACACACAAAAAAGACACACAAAAAGACACACACAAAAGACACACACACACACACACACAAGAAGACGCACTCACACAAAAAAGACACAAACAAAAAGACTTACATACAAACACACAAAACAAGATGGCGGACAGCCATGTGCTTTTCTCATAACGCATTCACATACACACAGAAAAACACAAAATCTTTTTCTAGGTTTCAAACACACCTAAAACCCACAAAAATCATATCCCAACCCATCATTTTTGCCTAATAATCAACTGTTCAACCCCAAAAAATTTGTAAAAACAAAAAAAACCCCATAAAGATACAACAAGATGGCGGAACAAGATGGCGGAACAAGATGGCGGACAGCCATGTGCTTTTCTCATAACGCATTCACAAACACACAGAAAAAAGAGCGCGTCGACACCAGCCACTTGGTCCAACTCCAAGGTCAAGGGTTCAAACCAGGGTGAGACGTGGGTCAGGCCTCTATTTCCGTTGCTTTAGATAGATATGAAAATAACTATGTGCTTACTTAGGTGGCCACAGCGGTCCGGATGTCCATGAATGTGGGCACTGGACCCAGGCCCATGTCGGTCCAGGCTCGCCCCATGTAGCCCCGTAAATCTTTAATTGGGCCTTCTCCAAAAGAACAAAAAAAATAAATGCTGCTCGGGATGGTGCGTCGGAGAAGGCCCAGCCATCTCCGGCACCACCCGTACTCCTCTGCGGTGAGGTACACCTGGGCGTGGCCGTATGTTTGAACAGTTTTATGTTCAAGTACCTGGGAAAAAAAACGGTGATTGTACAGGTGACTGGTGAGAGTATGGATGACGTCTGAGGGGGAATGAAATAGTGGCAGTAGTAGCAGCAGTGGCCCCATTTTACACTTACATTTATGAGGTAGCTTTTTCACCTCCGCCTGGGTCATTTTTGTGAAGACCTCGGTCCTGTGCCCATAAATGCATGCCAGGTAGGCCGACAGGTAGCCCAGGAAAAGGAACCGGGTTGACCGGTTCTTGGGGGGTGCGGCTTCAACTGGGTCTATACAAAAATGATCAAAACTGATCAAAACTATCAACTATATACATAGTTCCTACATGACGTCACTACATACGGGGATTTGCCGACCCGGCGCCATTTGTCTTGGCATGCTGTGGGCAAAACAATAGAAAAAGAAGCTGAAACGTGTTAATGTCGTGATAAAGTTGAAAATGGTCATCTCCTGCTGGGTCAATGGATGTTCAAATCGTGCCGGAGGTTCCGTTAAACTTGGATTTTACAGTATACCCATCATTAGACTTCATGAATGTGAGAAGACTACGCTTTTGTCAGAACAACGACGGAGGTTATGGCTTGCGAAGATAAACAGGCAAGAAACTCCCTCAAAACACGCAAGAATATGCTCGGAGCACTTTGTGTCAGGTGCGTATCGTATCTTATAATGTGTTGACAGACGTAATTTACTCAGTACTAACTTGTGTATGCTGATAGCTGGTAACTTGAGAGTTTCATTATTTAGCGTTAGATTACTTTATTATGAGGAGGATCGGTGTCGCGTCCGAGGCTCTCGAGGGCAACGTAAATGTATTAAATAGATAATAATAGTTCTATGGTGGGCTAAAACAATGTTCACAAACAGCATTGCTTCTGTAAAAAGATCTGTGTCATAAAATAAACTGCTCTTTACGCCTGGAAAAATCAGTTGCCCACCATTCACCAAAACATACGGTCAAAAACGCAGAAATAAACAATAACAGCAATCCAGAGTGTCCGTGTGGCATTAGCATTAATTAAATTAATTGTTAATATAATTAAAATAATTAAATGGAGCTCCAACTGGTATTAAATCTAAAGTTTTTGAGAAATGTTTGCATTGCTTGTTAATTTTTGCTGCATAATTTGATCAAATATGTAAAACATGTCCGTAGCACGTTAAACTGTGGTGCCATTGTATTAATATACAATTATTTGCTCAAAAGTTGCCCTTTTTTTCCAATTTGCGTTTGAATATCTACATTTATTCGCATTCTTCTGTTTAATGGAATGCACAAACACAGCAGCGTGCCATCAAAGATGGCGTCTCCGAGGAGGTCATGTGACATTCATTGGTCTGTGGGAACTATGTATTGTACAGTGCATCCCCCCAAGAGACTTGACACAATGTTCAAAACCTCCAAAGAATAAATATCATATACTTTACCTCCAACTCCCGGATCCTAAACTCCCTCTGAATGCAGGACGGGAGCCGGCATTCAGAGGCAAGGCTGTCTTCAAGGTCCAACACCGAGGCCATGGGCGGTTGAGGGTTGGTAGCCCGCAGCTCTGACAGCTGCTTCAACGCGGCATCCCTGTGGGCTACCTGCTTGAAGGACTCCCTTCTGCCGGGGAGCAGATCAACGTGGCCCTCTAAATGTGTGGAGAGGCGTCTCCTAAAGACACCACACCCTGGGACCGGGCATAGCCCCTGTTGCATGTAAATCCTGCCAGAGGATATGCCGTTTAAAATGCTCCTCTCCGTTTGGTTTCGAATGCGGTGCACCTCGCGGATGTGTTTGCTTATGTGCATCAACACTTTGAGGCATATGGGGCACTGGCCTGACTGTTTGGGCTTAGTCATCTAAATGAAAGGACAGAGGAACATAGTAGTATTAGCAGTAGCAGTAGTAGAAGCAGTAGCAGCAGCAGTAGCAGCAGCAGCAGTAGTAGTAGAAGCAGCAGTAGTAGCAGCAGCACTAGTAGTAGTAGTAGTAAAAGCAGTAGCATCAGTAGTAGAAGCAGCAGCAGTAGCAGTAGTAGTAGTAGTAGTAGTAGCAGTAGTAGTAGTAGTAGTAGTAGTAGCAGTAGTAGCAGTAGTAGTAGCAGTAGTAGTAGTAGCAGTAGCAGTAGTAGCAGTAGTAGCAGCAGTAGCAGCAGCAGTAGTAGTAGCAGTAATAGTAGTAGTAGTAGTAGTAGCAGTAGTAGTAGTAGCAGTAGCAGTAGTAGCAGTAGTAGCAGCAGTAGCAGCAGCAGTAGTAGTAGCAGTAATAGTAGTAGTAGCAGTAGTAGTAGTAGTAGTAGTAGCAGTAGTAGTAGCAGTAGTAGTAGCAGTAGTAGTAGTAGCCCAACTTCAATTGCAATTGTAACTTGGGCTATGTTTTCTAAAGTTTAAAACAATTTCAAATGTATAGAAAATAATTATAATAATGTGGAATTGGCTCTAGAATCACTGATAATGAAAATATGAAAATATACAGAAGAGCAGCACTGACAAATGTTTGACATTGTTAATTGCATGGCTGGCATTTGCAGCCTCTGGAATAGTTGTTATAACTCCTTAGTTTAGTCACCATTCTCTGCCTGTCGGCAGCTGCACACAGCATGTAAACAAGAGTGCTACACATGTGCATGACATTGTTCAAGCATGCAACTTTAAAACTCTATTTGAATTCATGTACTTACTGTGTAATAGGCAGTTGTGTCTCTGTCTCCAGCTCCAAAGTCTCTGACTGCTCTGCTGCACGCGCACACGGCAAAGGTGTGAAAACTTTTGCGTCAAATTAACCTAGAGGAGGCTGTGTCACAAGCCGCCATCTTGTGCATGTCAAATTTCGTTTTCAAACTCTTTATATTTTTATTAACATGTCTGAAAGGTCTAAATATGCATTTTCTGTTAAGAACATGGAGGCCAATAACAAAACGAAAGTCTTCATTTTGTTTTGATACCTTTATACAGCAGAGGTGTACTTTATACATACAAATGGCAGAAAAGCAGCCTCTCTAGCTTGTATGAGCTCATGTGTTCACTGTATCAGGTTACAGTAGTCCATTTTGCAGTTGTAACTTGGGCTACTCTTTTTTCGACCCCAAGACCTTTGAGCAATCGTCCACAAATCACACCCCACATTCAGACTGCGCCCATCAGTCACATACTCCATTTTCAGACCTGTAGCTCTCATTAAATTTGAATGAGAGCCAAAAAGACCACCGCAAAGGCATCAGTTGCTTTTTCAACTGTGGCTTGACCTTTGACCCCAGGGTCACCATATGCGGCCTATACAATGTCCAGGGGGCCCTCTAACATAATCCAGCGTCTGATTTTTCCCACGACCCTTCTGGAGCTTAACGAGCTGTCCAAAATCCAGCCCTGCTGAAGGGGGTAGATGGCTATAAGTCTCAGGCCAAACAAAGCCGATTTTGGTTTTACTGTGGGTACACACTTGAATTTAAAATATGTGTTAGAGGGCCACGAGACGAGTCCAACGGTGTAGGTTAGACCTCCAGGGGCCACATGGTTCTCGATGGGCGGGCCTTAAAGCGGGGCAGATTCTCATGATAATTAAGCTAGTTAAAGGGTCAACTTTAATCGAAATGACTCAAAATTCAGTACACACCACTTTAAATACAGACTTAACAAGAATCCAACGTTTCAACCTGCTCCGGCACTCTGTTAGCTACTTAGCTTCCTATTGGTCCATTTGAGTGGACGCCCAGATATTTGAGAAGAGAATAGTGTGGTGTTTGACATACTCAAAAATGAGGCCTGCAATCTAAAGTTTAAAATTTGGCCCTGTTGTCAAAAAGATATGACTGACGTGTTCAGAATTTGATACAGAAATAAGGCCAAGAATGCAAGAGTTAAAAATAGAACATTTATTTATCTTTACAATTAAATATTGATACAAAACTCTTGGGGGGTCTTAATTCCCTAAAACTATCCCTGTGCTGAGCCATTCTAACTGTCCCTTATTGTAAAAAATGACGTGTTCAAAATCCCATATAAAGATGACCAGTATTCGAAAAGTTAAATCCAAAAAGTTTATTCCCTGATACAAAGAGTCTAAACAGCGGTCTGGACTTAAAGTTAGCTCTCCCTCTCCAATCTATATATGAGTATAAAGTCAGGCGCTCTGTCCAGACTAGTTCACAATTTCTACATAATACAGTTTTATAAATGTGCTGAAGATCAGGACTCGTCCCTCGAAGACGTCATGGGCTCCTTTGCCTGGCCTGTGTTGTAGAATTTCATACCCCAAAGCAAGGAGAAAGCCCAAAAGTATTTGTCTTAAATCAGGAGCGTAAGTTTATTGTAACGCACGTGCGGAGGGCTGACTACACAGAAACAGCGTGCATTCAGCTCTGGCTCGCAGAGCTCCGAGTTTCCTGTTTACAAGACACACACGAAAGACAGTCCCGCCCACAACAGATGGGAGGGGGCCACCGGTGCAGGAGGCGCATAGGGATGCAAACAGACTGCAGGATGTAGAAAGTGCACACATACAGACAGATACATATGCAAGAGGTGAAAGGGGGCAAGAGTGATCGCCATTGTCTTGTAGGTGTCGGGGGGGACCCGGCTCCTTCCTGGAGCAGGGACATATGGATAGAAGCAGGCATACAGATGCAAGATACGAAAGACACAAGGGTGTGACAGACAGCAGGGGGCCCTCACAAAGCTCAGCATGGCGTCAGAAGGTCGTCTCTGCATTGATAAAAGGCCTTTGACGTCCGTGTATTTGCTGCGGCTGGTTTTATGTAATTACTCCAAAAACTGTCACCACACCTGCCAAACGATATGCTTTTTCAAAGACATATAGTCTGGGAACGAGCTTGATCTCAGCGAATTCCCGGTGGGCGTGGTTGACAGACTGCATCAACCAATTAGATGCACACAGGATATGACGCAGCAACTAGCGGCACCCAAGCCGTTTCAGTAAACACAAAACAAGGGATGGCGGCATGTCAGCTAGGGCAAATGTAAACGACTGCTGTCGATTTTGTAACAAAAACTTAAAGATACGAGGAGTTATTAGCTACTCAAAGGTGAAAGGAAGTCCCGCCTCTCGGTGCGTGATTGGACCGATGTGGGTAAAATCGTGAAATGATAGGCTAGGAAGAGGTGTCCAGACGGTTCTTCTTTTGAACAGAAAGGAGGAGTGTCTGGCAGGCCAGGCAATGGGCTCCTTATCACCTCAGTCCCAGAGACAGGATTTTTGTCTCATGCGAAGCAGACACATCGTTCCTGAAAAGGTTACTTTTGCAGAGACCAGCCTGTCCTTGAATTCTCACTGACCCCACTAACACATTAAACAAAGGCCTATTATGCAGACACTTACTGATAATATAAGAACATTTTATGGAGATACTTATAAGAACATTTACTGATCAATATAATTGTTAGTACATGTGATTACTGGTAATAAACATTGTTATGGTGGTTATATTTTATTCACTCTTGTCTGTGTGTCAGCATGTGCATGTTATTCACATCAACACCCATGGCTCACATTCCCTGTCCACCATTGCACATCCATAATATTATTCATCCTCCCTGCCTCCATCACCAGCTGTTCCACAACAGAAGACAGGTGTGTCTCCCCCACACAGGTGGAGACCAGCCCCAATCATCCTACCAACCAATCCTGTTAGAGGAAGAGAGAATAAGAGGCCAGTCCTCCCACACTTCTGGTTCAGTCTGAACAGCCTTCCAGACAGTGCACATCGTGAACAGCTCTCACAAACGTGCTATCATTTTGTTTTACACCTGATGAAGACCAGTCACGGTCGAAACGTTGTGTTTTTATCCTCAATATAGCACCTTTTAACCTTTTAACCCGCGCAATTTTTATATTCCATCTAGACCTTAAAGGTCTCTCATTTGTCTCCCTCATAAAGGAGACAATCTGAATTTTAACCCTTTTAATTTCCTTTGAATTAAAATCTTTTAAAAAAATAAACAACAAAAAACAAAAAAATGCCAGATAACTGGTCTCCAACACTCAGACCCATACGATACTCACCATACGCCTGCAATGGTCCACAGGGGACCCACTTGCACTATGGCCACAGTCCCCCCCCTGGGCCTGCGAGAGAGAGTGAGTCACTGGAGAGAGCCCACCTACCACCTATACTACACCTGGAACTCCAACCACACCGCCCAGCACGGATGGAGAAATAAGGCCCGTACACTTCCCGACTCCACAAGTTGGAGGAGGGATCCCATACATTTACCTAACCCTAACCCTGCGAGCACGCTGCCACTAATAGTGTGTTGGCGCGGCGCGGCCACTAGAGGGAGCCAAAAGCAAGCAAATAATTCCCAGATTGTTCTCCTCGTTCTTTTCAACTGTTATATTTGTAAATGGTTATTTGTATAATTCTAAACTCACTTTTTGTTATTGTTTTAGTTTCTTATATTTATAAATATTGTATTTTTTCCACTATCATATAAAAACTCATCACATAAGATCATGACATTTTTGAAAATATGTCTAAAGATTTTGTCTTCAATGGACTTGAAATGACCTGAAACGTGCTCATTTCGTGATTCTGACAACATTTTTTCCCCCCAACACTTCGCCTTTCTCGCTGTCCCATTCATTTCAATGCGGAGCTTAAAACGTTTATAACTCCCGAACCAAAGGTCCTAGAGACTTAACCTTGATCCGTCAGACATAATTCGGGTCTTCTGAACACGCCAGTCTTGGTCCCGAGACTCTTCGGTTACGGAGATACACAAAAAACAAAGTTTTTTTGGCAGATATCGCGAGAATGGAAAGTCCCACAGTAGAAAGGCTGGCACCATTTGAAAGTTAACCTCATGGAATGGGGGGGTACATCTTGGTTTCAATGCTCTACGACGTTCCGTTTGAGATATGAGCCCTCAAACCTTTATGGGAGGGGGTCCCATGAGTGGTTTCTTACCCCCTATTCTAACCCTAACCCTACTAACCCTAACCCTAACGAGAGGACGAGGCAACAATTGGAAAAAAATGCACATACCTGGGGACACAAAACGATCAACATCCTCAAAAAACATTATGAAACCGAGATCCAGTACAATTTGAATCAAATGGAGAATACAAAGGATGACAACTGGCGAGAGGCCTTCATGGTGGCCCAGAGATGGGCCAAAAACAGTCTCCCCAGAATCAAACCAATCACACTAGAGAAAATAGAGGACTGTATTCTGAACGGCCCCTATTTTAAGAAGCCCCAAACGGATCAAATCACTACTTCGGCACAGGTACATACGCAGCCCAGTTTTCCGAACCCTCCTAGACCCAGACGGATCCCCAGAACCCGCAGCCAGCCCAGGAATAATCAAAATCCTGTGGTCTTCATGGGTCCCGATACTTTAGAGGATCCAGAAACGAGCACGCAAGAGGCCGAAAATACTCCTATCCCCTCCAATAACGCACCCACCGTTCAAGAACACAGGAACGAGACCGGAACATCGGGGAGAAAGAGGGGTGTAAGAGTTAGCTTCCCCCAGGAACCCTTCACACAGCCGCCCACTCACATGTCCCCACCAGAGTCCACAACAAACTCGCCCGGGCCGTCGCAGCGGATATCACACTCCCCGCTAGCGGACCACACCCCAGCTGGCTCTCCGCCAACGTCACAAGAAGACCTGGAGCGAGCCGCGGACTCCGGCACTGACGAGGAAGAGGGACAAAATGTCTACAAAATAGAAAAACACAAAGTTACTATCAGGGACCAGTGTGGACTGGTCCCTGAATGTGACCAGGCCTGTTTTGATCCTGGGGGACTCCAATGTCGCCAGGATCAAACAACACGCCTTCCCCTCCCTACAAATAGACAGTTTCCCCGGTGCCAATCTCCTCCATGCTGCAGAGCTCCTCAGCCACACACCAAACCAGCCCCAGGTGGAGAGTGTCGTTCTTTCCTTTGGGATAAACAACAGACCGCAAAAGCAGAGCGAAACATGCATAAAGCAAATGCAGAGGCTAATGAGGGAGGCAAAAAAGGCCTTTCCAAATGCCAATATTAAGGTGCCCTTAATCCAGTCCTCCAAAGAGCTCCCCCTGCAGGAGAGGAACGTGTTGACATCCCTCAACCAGCACCTGGAGAGAAATATGTCACATATTAAAAAACTCCCAGAGGAGGATTTTAAAACCAGAACGGACAATATACATTGGACAGAGGAAACGGCTAGGAAAATGCTCCAACATTGGGCCCGTGAGTTAAACTGGGACCCCCTCCAGTAATCAACATGGAGGGCTCACACACAGGGGACACACCACACAACATTTTTAATTTATGTACAAAATGTATACCTAACAAAACACAAATAAGTATTAGAAAGAGGACTCACCTTTATTCCCACCTACCAAAATAATAAAGATCAGAAGCTCCAGTTTGAGTGGGAGTTACAAAACTACCACAGGAAAGTGGACTTGGCACTGTATTTCTCACAGGATAATAATTCTAACAAAAACACTAACCCAACAAGAAAGTTTTTACCTGCTTCCACATGGATCCCGCCGAAGGACAAGCTTCCTCCAGAAACAGCGGTCCTTAGGAGGCTGGACCGCCAAGCCTTCAAATCTCTACATAGAAATTACAGAGAATTTCCAAATATTCCACCGGATGAGACTGAGGCTCTCCGCTCCCTGATGAAGGAAAAAAGAATGGTGATCAAGCCGGCCGATAAAGGCAGTGCTATCGTTATGATGGACAGGGACGATTATGTAAGTGAGGTACAGAGACAACTAATGGATAGGAATTATTATATAACAATAGAGGAGCCAATTTATCCGGACACTATACCACAAGTGAAGGCAATATTAGACCAACTTTACATATTAAAATACATAAATAAAAAACAACATACTTACCTTCAAAGACCCCCAGAGCCCAGGATGAGACGCTTTTACATTCTTCCAAAGATCCACAAAGAACAATCCGAATGAAGAAGAAGAAGAAGAAGAAACTTTATTTATATAGCACCTTTCACAGATAAAATCACAAAGTGCTTCACAGGGGCACAACAATAAAAGTTACAGAGCAATATTAAAACAAATTAATTAAAACAATCACAGCCTTTTCAACTAAAAGCTCGTCCAAACAGCCATGTCTTCAGCTGTTTTTTAAAGGAATCGACAGTGTCGGTCACACGTAGCGACAGAGGAAGGGCATTCCACAGTTTAGGAGCAACAACTTCAAAGGACAGGTCACCTCTGGTTTTAAAGTGGGTCCTTGGGACAGCAATGGACAGTCCCAGGACGGATTCCTCCTGGAAGACCAATCGTTTCAGACTGCAACTCGGACACCTATAGGACAGCAGAATATATTGACCATTTCCTCACCCCGTTATCAAATAAACACCCCTCGTATTTAAAAAACACTACGCATTTTATTGAGACCCTACAGGCCTTACAGGTACCAGAGAAGGCTTTCTTCTTCTCGGTGGACATCGATTCCCTATATACCAACATTCCCATTGAGTCAGGGATTAGAGCCGTACAAGATATTTTTAAGAAATACCCGGAGGATACACGTCCAGACAATCTGTTAATAAACTTGTTAGAAATCAACCTAAGGAGGAATGACTTTGAATTTGATGGAAAATATTGCCTGCAGACCAAGGGCACAGCAATGGGCAAGCGTTTCGCTCCAGCTTATGCCAACATTTTCATGGCAGAGTGGGAGTCGAGAGCATTAGCCATCTGCCCAGTGCAACCCCTGATCTACAGGCGTTATTTAGATGATATATTTGGGATCTGGACAGACACGGAGGAGTCCTTTAAAAACTTCCTCCACATTTTGGACACGTTTGACCCCTCCATTAAAATAAAACATGAGCACAGCGCCACCTCCCTGAATTTTCTGGACACAACAGTTTATAAAGGACCTGACTTTAATAAAACACACAGACTGGACACAAAGTATTTTTTAAAGCTACAGATACTCACTGCCTCCTACACAAGGACAGCTTCCACCCCCGCTTCACATTTGCAGGATTGGTCAAGTCCCAGCTGGTCAGATTCCACCGCATCTGCACCAGACAGGAGGACTTTTTCCAGGCAGTAAGGATTCTATTCCAGGCCCTGAAGAAGAGAGGTTACAGTAGGTCCTTCCTGAGAACATGTCTAAAAAAATTTACAGTTAAGAATACACAGTAACAAGGAAAGATCCTACCTTTGATCACCACCTTCTCCTCTGTGGGACGAAACCTTAACACAGTCATAAAAAATAACTTTTACACATACATTACCCAACAAGGTCTCCTGAAGGATTACAGTCTCTGCCTACAAAAAGAACCGCAGCCTGGGGCAGTATTTGGTGAGGGCCAAACTAGCCCCGACTGTTAACCTAATAAAAAAACAGAACATCCTATCACCACACTTGGTACATCTTGACTTAGTCAAGAGTCATACCACAGGTATAATCTTCCCCATAGTACAAAGATTTACCTGTCACTCACAAAATGTGGTTTACTTGATCTTCTGCTCCAAATGTGGGAAACAATATGTTGGACAAACGGGGAACACCCTCCTGGGCCGTTTTGTCCAACACAGGTATACCTTCTTGAGGAAAAAAGACATACTCAAACCATTGATCAAACATTATATTTTGCATGGATATCAAGCCGTCAAAGTGGCAGGCCTAGAGTCCAACGGAACTTGGACTGAGAAAGATCGACTCAAAATAGAGAACAAATGGATCAAGCAATTAAACAGTACTCACCCACCTCAATTACAAATAGAATTAATATATTGTATACCTACCTTACTCATGGAACATGGATGGAAAGAGTCACAATATAACACTGGATACCACACACCTTGGACCACCCTAACCCACTTATCTGGAATTATTGGGAAACAACCTGCAAAATTAATCAAAAATTAACCAACAATACTTACCTGGACCTACACTCACTTATCGAACCCTATCCTGACCCCAAACTTAACCCATTTATCTAACAACCTAAACCTAACCTAATTATTTAATGACCTAAACTTAACCCATGTATTTAATGACCTAATCCCAACCCTGGACCACCCTAACCCACTTACCTGGAATTACTGGGAACGACCTGCAAAACTAATAAAAAATTAACCAACAATACTTACCTGGACCTACACTCACTTATCCAACCCTATCCTGACCCCCAACCCTAAACGTAACCCATTTATTCAACTGACCTAGCCCTACCCATTCTTTTAACCATCTTGACCCCTGACCACCATGACAATCTATGTCAACAATTTATGTTTTATTATTTTAGTTTTTATTATTTAATCCCGCCTTAGCATTAAATTCAATCTCTTTGTTTTGTATCAAGGTCCACCCTGATCCCTCCCAAAGGTTAACCCACATTCACACCCATGGCTCACATTCCCTGTCCACCATTGCACATCCATAATATTATTCATCCTCCCTTCCTCCATCACCAGCTGTTCCACAACAGAAGACAGGTGTGTCTCCCCCACACAGGTGGAGACCAGCCCCAATCATCCTACCAACCAATCCTGTTAGAGGAAGAGAGAATAAGAGGCCAGTCCTCCCACACTTCTGGTTCAGTCTGAACAGCCTTCCAGACAGTGCACATCGTGAACAGCTCTCTTACAAACGTGCTATCATTTTGTTTTACACCTGATGAAGACCAGTCACGGTCGAAACATCGTGTTTTATTGTGTTTTATTATTAATATAGCTCTTTTAACGTCTTTTAATTATTTATTCTCTTATATTATTTTTTAAAACAACTTGCGCATTTTAAACTTCATTCAGAATTAATTTTAAAACATATGTTTAAAAAAAAAAATCTTCGCAGTAGTAGTAGTAGTAGTAATAGTAGTAGTAGTAGCAGCAGTGGTAGCAGAATGTAAAAATTAAAGCAATTACAATGTATATTGATAAGAGCGACAGGGGACCCACTTGCACTATGTCTGTCCACACGGAACATGAGCCCACAGCCGCAGTCCCCTGGCTGCGAGAGAGAGTGATTCACTGGAGAGAGGCCACTCCACCTATACTACACCTGGGAAACTCAACCAGATCCGGCAGCAGGGCTGAGAAACTAAGGCCCGTACACTTCCCGACTCCACAGTTGGAGGAGGTGATCCATACTTTTACCTAACCTGTCAGTGCCTTTCTCCCAACCGTGCGCTTTATCGAGGCGGCCCAGCTCTTTTTTTTTTTTTTTTACTACGCGACGTGATGAGGGAAGTTCCGTAGCATCCCCACCAGGACCCCCACCCAATATACAAGAGACTCACCAGTAAGACAGACGGCGGCCCGCACACATGGCCAGGTCTCATCCTGCCTCATTTCAGGACTGCAACTGAACCCACCATCTGTTCCTGCCTGTCCGATGAACACGGGCGAAGGCAAGGAGTGGATCCATAGTCTGGCAAATGACTAAAGCATGATCTAACCCGCAGCCTTAATGAGGCGACAAGACAACTTTTGTATGAAAAATGCACGCACCTGGGACAAGAAACCATTAAAATTCTTCAAAACCATACGAAAATAGATAAAATACAACGTGGACCAAATGGGATGCATGTGGACATGATGGGTGGATCATTCATGGTAGCCAAGAGATGGGCCAAAAACAGTCTGCATAGGCTCACAGACACATTACAGCAAGTAGAGGACTAATTCTGGATGGGGTGTTTTAAGAGAAACCAATCGAAGCTGGTCATGAGCACACTGACTGAAAACACTCCGACCCCTCTAAAAAACCTTCACCTAAGCCAACAACGTGGGGACTAGGCTAATAACAGTTAGTAGGAGGGGCACAGGAGTGCGCTTCCAGGACTCCTCCCACAGGCCCTCGGAGCCCAAACCAGCTCGCGGGCTCGCAACGGAACCACGCTCCGAGGCTAAGAGAGGCACGACGCTACCGCCAGCACTGCAGCAAACCTTAGACCGGGAGCCAGCACAGACTCGGCACGGATGATGAAGAGGTGGAAGACAAGTCTACAAAATAGAAAAACATAAGGTTACCAACAGGAAGAAGGAGGACTGTTCTTGAGAGTGACCAGGCCGTTTTGATCCTGGGAGATATCTTAATGTCGCCAGGATCAAGATCACCCCTTTCCTTCCTTTCAATCGACAGCTTTCCGGGAGCAATTATTCACGGAGAACTCTCAGGAACACACCAAATCAGCCCAGTAGAGAGCGTGGTCCTTCCTTTGGGCTGAACAACAGCAGCAAAAACAGAGCGAGACAGGCATAAACAATGCAGAGCGCTGATCAGGAAAGCCAAAAGACATTTCCAAATGCCAACATCAGAGTGCCTTCTGATCCAAGACCTCAAGAGAGCTCCCCCAAAGGAGAGAGGTGTGATAAAACTTCTTAACATCACTTGGGAGAAAACTATTGCTAATTCAAAGAACTGCCAAAAGAAGAATGTAACCAGGACGGACAATTACATGGACAGATATTAACAGCTAAAAGAATGTTCCCACATTCGGGGTCCACGAGTTGAATTGGACCCTTTCCTAGTTCTGGATTTTTGGGCAACTTTGATGCACTTTGGACTACTTTGAAGTAGCCCTTGGCCCACAGCTATTCCAGTTTATGTTAGCAAATGAAGAGCATAGCATTCATAAGTGCCATTTATTTAAAATAATTAAATACAAAGCTAATAAAAACAATCTATAACACAAAACCACATCTATACAAACAAAACCCATCTATAAAAATAAAAAACATCTATAAAAATAAAACATTATAAAATCAAACGTCTATAAAAACAACACGTTCTATAAACAAACAAATCTATAAAAATAAAGAATGGAATGTGTGCGTTGTTTCTGCCATCACCGTCACGTCGACGGACTGTTGTCTTGAAGGAAAAAATTGAATTAGAGAAAGGACAAGAACAATGCGTGACACATTGTGAACCTTTCAGGAGGACCCCTCCAGAACAACGCATGCATTTGCGAACAGGTGCGTTAGCGACATGCACCTTGCAGACTTCAGAAGGTTTGCAAACTTCAGAAGGCTGGGAAGTGGGCGTCTCCGGCTTTTAACTTGCTGTCCTGGTGGTTATTGGTGGACTAGATGTGGGCGTTTTGCTGGTGTAATGAGTAGAGGATGAGCAGGCTTGTAGATCTGGCAGCAGTGGCCGGGTCTACCACAGTGAACTTTCGCGAAGAGCTTCATGTGTAGAGTGGTGAGGGTGCCTAATGCTATTGTACAGTCCCTGGATTGTCCTTACATTAGCTCAGTCAGGTTCACTTCTTTGCTCTGGAGTCACTGGCGTGCTTCTCTGTATGTGTGACTTGGTCTAAATATGTGAATATGTGATTACTATGTGTGTTTTAACTCTGTTCCGTTTTTTTTTTAAACTTTTCTTTCATTATTCTTAGCTATGGATCCTGTGCTTGCATGTGAGTCCTTAATAAAGTATAAATAAAATAAAAATAAATAAATGAAAAATTACTGAATCCTCCCTGTACAGGGAGGGTGATCCTTAAAAGGTTAATAAGCCGTTATTACTTTTTTTGTTAGTTGCAGCGCCACACCAATCATCTCCCAATTCATCATTATTGCCTAAAAATCAACTCTTCAACCCAAAACATGTGATAATAAACTCAACAACATTAAACGGTAAAACAGGATGATCAAACAAAATACAACAATAACAATTTGAGCCATGTTCAAATGTTCAAAATCTCCAAAGAATAAATATCATATACTTTACCTCCAACTCCCGGATCCTGAACTCCCTCTGAATGCAGGAGGGGTTCCGGCATTCAGAGGCAAGGCTGTCCTCAAGGTCCAACACCGAGGCCATGGGAGGTTGAGGGTCGGTAGCCCACAGCTCCGACAGCCGCTTCAAGGCGGCATCCCTGTGGGCTACCTGCTGGTAGGCCTCCCTTCTGCCGGGGAGCAGATCACTGTGGGCCTCAATATGTTTGGAGAGTCGTCTCCAAAAGAGACCACACCCTGGGACCGGGCATGTTCCCTTTCCAATGTCAACCCTGCCAGTGGATATGGCGTTCAGTATACTCCTCTCCCTTGCGTTTTTAATGCGATGCACCTCGCGGATGTGTTTGCTTGTATGCTGCAAAACTTTGAGGCATATGGGGCACTGGCCCGACACTTTGGGCTTAGTCATCTAAATGAAAGGACAGAGGAACATAGTATTAGCAGTAGTAGAAGCAGTAGCAGTAGCAGTAGTAGTAGTAGTAGTAGCAGTAGTAGTAGTAGCAGCAGTAGTAGCAGCAGCAGCAGTAGCAGTAGTAGTAGTAGTAGTAGTAGCAGTAGTAGTAGTAGTAGCAGCAGCAGCAGTAGCAGTAGTAGTAGTAGTAGTAGTAGTAGTAGTAGTAGTTGGAGAGCACTTACAGCTGTGATGTTCTCAGTGCTGGTGCTGTCCTTGGTGCTGGTGCTGTCCTTGGTACTGGTACTGAGAACTAGAGGAAAAGGCAACAAAGACTCATTTTATTGCATAAAACATAAAAAAGTAGTAGTAGTAGTAGCAGCACACCAATCATCTCTCAATTCATCATTATTGCCTAAAAATCAACACTTCAACCCAAAACATATGATAATAAACTCAACAACAAACAACATTAAATGGTAAAACAGGATGATCAAACAAAATACAACAATAAAAATTGTCTCTTACCAAATAAAAAGTTGAGGAGGATGTATCAGAATGACAGCAAGCTTTCAGTTAAAAAAGAAACACGGTGTGAGCTATGTGTTACTATGGTGACAGTCCCGTATGTGATTATTCAAATCACTTTTACAATAGAATCAGTTGAAATATGTGGCTGTATCCGAACGTCCACACTATATCCTATCCACACAGTCACTATATAGTGCGGGACTATACACCGTAAACCTGAGTGCTCAAATTAGTCAAAAAAAAAGATTAGTGTAAAATTAAAAATAAATAAATGTACTACTTAATTACATCATTTAATTTAGTAATTCAACTATCCAATTTTCAGTGCATGAAATTATTTATTTTAATTTCTACTAGTATAATACTTTTAATTAACCATAAATTATATTATTTTATTTACTGGACTACTGCTTTCAAATTTCGATCGAATTATTTGTTTTAATAATATGATAAAGAATGTGCTTAGGTAGATGTATAAAATCACTGAAAAAAACAGGGCTACACAAGGTCTACCCCAGTGCATCATAGATCACTTTGATAATAAAATACGTTTAACCAAATTGTAAAATGTAGAGTAGTGGCACCATTCGTTCCCAGAAGCAATTAAAAATGACTAGGGCTGTCAAACAATAAAAAAAATTGAGTTGATTAATCACATAGTAATGGTGAGTTAACGCACGATTAATCACATTTTTAACATTCTATTTCAAATCCACTCCAATTGAAGTTAAATGAGATTATCAAATGTAATGACACATTGTTATTCATACCAAATGTACTTAAATCTGTTAGACTGGCTCACAACCTTCTACTTTTGGGTACAACCAACAAAAGCTGTTAATGAAAGGGAAAATGTAGGTACCCCAGCTTTAATTTCTCCCATATTGCCAGCTGTTTCTGATGATTTTTACTGAATAAATTCAGCATTTAGTCTGTAGTAAATTTCACACCGGAGGATTTTATCACCGGATCGGCCATCAGCCGCCTTAAAAGTGGATCTGTTCCATCTCTATTCCCCTGGAATAATTTTATTGCACCACCTAAGAGGGAGTCTGCATTCCAGAAGGCTCAGAAACGACAGCTTGTCCTTTCAGAGCAAATTAGCCAGGCGATTATGCGGCATATCCACCCCCAGGTAAATATGTATTCATTCATGTACATTTTTGATTCTAGCTTATTTTTGAATTAATATTATTACTATGAAACAAACTAGATAAGTGCTCAGTGTCAAAACATGTTTGGGGAACAAAATCAAAGGGTTTCAAATTAAAGCAGTGAAAATAAAATATAATTACTAAGACTGTCTGTGTAATTATATATATAATTATATATTAATTACATTATGGTTAAACATTCTTGCAGTTTTTATAGCATTTTTTTCTGGTTTTACAGGTGCACTTGATAAAGCCCTTGAGACAATCAAGGAGTTGGAAGCCAGGCTGGAGAAGGTGGAGTCGTCTCCCTGCACACTTTTTAGCAGTTATTGTTTTTCGATGACCAGATCCGGTTTTACACAAAATTCCCATCTGAGAGTGTGTTCAGGATCTTCTGGGAGTCCATTGCACCATCTGCATCCCGTCTAGTGTACTGGACCAGAGCTCAGAAAATTGGAGATAAAGCAGCTGACACGCAGCATGCCTCTAATTGATGTACTCATTCAGGGTTGCACTGGGAATGAAGGAGCAGCTCATTGCTGACATGTTTAAAGTGAGCATTTCTACTGTCAGCCGAGTGACCATCACATGGGCCAACTACCTCTTTATTGTTTTCTAGTCAATTAACATGTGGATTAGTCGGGAGAAGGTGAGAGCCAGCATGAGATTCGTAAAGCGCTCTCCAAATGTGCGTGTCATCCTGGACTGCACGAAGTTGCTTTGGAGGGCGCATTGTCACTAACGTTACAGTCTGAAACCTACAAGAACCGTACCACTCTGAAAGGGCTGATCGGAGTTGCTCCCAATGGGTTGGTGACGTTTATTTCACAGCTGTACACTGGCTGAATCTCCGACAAAGAGATCACTAGGCCAGAAGATGAAGTCATGGCAGATAAGGGCTTCCTCATTCAAGACCTCCTTGATGAAGTTGGGGCCAAACTCACAATGCCACCTTTTCGTCATGCTGGTCAGTTTAGCAAGAGAGAGACTGAGGAGACCCAAGCCATTGCTCGTTTGAGAATTATTGTCGAACAGGTAATAGCCAGAATCAAGCAATCTGGGATTCTCCTGTGCCACTCACTTTAATAGGAACTGTCAATACTAATATATTTTGGTGCGAGGCCATGGAGAGACGTGTACACAATCAGAGCTGTTTTAAAGTCTATTCTCTGAGCCACAGGAAGCCAGTGCAGAGACCTGAGAACTGGACTAATGTGGTCATACTTCCTGGTTCTAGTCAGGACTCGAGCTGCTGCAAGTTTTTATTTTGTTTTATGAACATATTACAATACAAATTAAACAAAAAAAACAGAAAAAAAAACAAGACCAGTGAGGTATTGACCAGATGCATCGACGTCATCCAGTCACGTGATTGTGCATGAGCTTACGGCGGAAGTCAGAGACCCCAGACTCCTCTGACTCTTCGTCCTGGGCTCCTCTGGGTCGAGGGTGACCGCTGGCTCACTGGGGACGAAATCTGGGTTGATGATGTCATCGTCCCCACTGGACTCCTGGAGGCTACGCTCAGAGACCCCAGACTCCTCTGACTCTTGGACATCGTCCTGGGCGACCGCTGGCTCCTCTGGGTCGAGGACGACCGCTGGCTCCTCTGGGTCGAGGACGACCGCTGGCTCCTCTGGGTCTGGGCTGACTGCTGGCTCACTGGGGACGACATCTGGGTCGATGATGTCATCGTCCCCACTGGACTCCTGGAGGGCGAGGGGTAGACCCAGGACTGAGACCCAGGACTGAGGCTGTAGACCCAGGACTGAGGCTGTAGACCCAGGACTGAGGCTGTAGACCCAGGACTGAGGCTGTAGACCCAGGACTGAGGCTGTAGACCCAGGACTGAGGCTGTAGACCCAGGACTGAGGCTGTAGACCCAGGACTGAGGCTGTAGACCCAGGACTGAGGCTGTAGACCCAGGACTGAGGCTGTAGACCCAGGACTGAGGCTGTAGACCCAGGACTGAGGCTGTAGACCCAGGACTGAGGCTGTAGACCCAGGACTGAGGCTGTAGACCCAGGACTGAGGCTGTAGACCCAGGACTGAGGCTGTAGACCCAGGACTGAGGCTGTAGACCCAGGACTGAGGCTGTAGACCCAGGAGGCTGAGACCCAGGACTGAGCTGTAGACCCAGGACTGAGGCTGTAGACCCAGGACTGAGGCTGTAGACCCAGGACTGAGGCTGTAGACCCAGGACTGAGGCTGTAGACCCAGGACTGAGGCTGTAGACCCAGGACTGAGGCTGTAGACCCAGGACTGAGGCTGTAGACCCAGGACTGAGGCTGTAGACCCAGGACTGAGGCTGTAGACCCAGGACTGAGGCTTAGACCCAGGACTGAGGCTGTAGACCCAGGACTGAGGCTGTAGACCCAGGACTGAGCCTGTAGACCCAGGACTGAGGCTGTAGACCCAGGACTGAGGCTGTAGACCCAGGACTGAGGCTGTAGACCCAGGACTGAGGCTGTAGACCCAGGACTGAGGCTGTAGACCCAGGACTGAGGCTCTAGACCCAGGACTGAGGCTGTAGACCCAGGACTGAGGCTTAGACCCAGGACTGAGGCTCTGGACCCAGGACTGAGGCTGTAGACCCAGGACTGAGGCTGTAGACCCAGGACTGAGGCTTGTAGACCCAGGACTGAGGCTGTAGACCCAGGACTGAGGCTGTAGACCCAGGACTGAGGCTCTAGACCCAGGACTGAGGCTTTAGACCCAGGATTGAGTTTGTGGACCCAGGACTGATGCTCTGGACCCAGGACTGAGGCTGTAGACCCAGGACTGAGGCTGTAGACCCAGGACTGAGGCTGTAGACCCAGGACTGAGGCTGTAGACCCAGGACTGAGGCTTACCAGGACTGAGGCTGTAGACCCAGGACTGAGGCTGTAGACCCAGGACTGAGGCTGTAGACCCAGGACTGAGGCTGTAGACCCAGGACTGAGGCTGTAGACCCAGGACTGAGGCTGTAGACCCAGGACTGAGGCTGTAGACCCAGGACTGAGGCTGTAGACCCAGGACTGAGGCTTAGACCCAGACTGAGGCTGTAGACCCAGGACTGAGGCTGTAGACCCAGGACTGAGGCTGTAGACCCAGGACTGAGCTAGCCAGGATGAGCTGTAGACCCAGGACTGAGGCTCTAGACCCAGACTGAGGCTGTAGACCCAGGACTGAGGCTGTAGACCCAGGACTGAGGCTGTAGACCCAGGACTGAGGCTGTAGACCCAGGACTGAGGCTGTAGACCCAGGACTGAGGCTGACCCAGGACTGAGGCTGTAGACCCAGGACTGAGGCTGTAGACCCAGGACTGAGGCTGAGCCCAGGACTGAGGCTGTAGACCCAGGACTGAGGCTGTAGACCCAGGACTGAGGCTGTAGACCCAGGACTGAGGCTGTAGACCCAGGACTGAGGCTGTAGACCCAGGACTGAGGCTGTAGACCCAGGACTGAGGCTGTAGACCCAGGACTGAGGCTGTAGACCCAGGACTGAGGCTGTAGACCCAGGACTGAGGCTGTAGACCCAGGACTGAGGCTGTAGACCCAGGACTGAGGCTTAGACCCAGGACTGAGGCTGTAGACCCAGGACTGAGGCTGTAGACCCAGGACTGAGGCTGTAGACCCAGGACTGAGGCTTAGACCCAGGACTGAGGCTTAGACCCAGGACTGAGGCTTAGACCCAGGACTGAGGCTGTAGACCCAGGACTGAGGCTGTAGACCCAGGACTGAGGCTTAGACCCAGGACTGAGCTGTAACCGCTGAGCTGTGACCAGGATGACCAGGCTGAGGCTGTAGACCCAGGACTGAGGCTGTAGACCCAGGACTGAGGCTGTAGACCCAGGACTGAGGCTGTAGACCCAGGACTGAGGCTGTAGACCCAGGACTGAGGCTGTAGACCCAGGACTGAGGCTGTAGACCCAGGACTGAGGCTGTAGACCCAGGACTGAGGCTGTAGACCCAGGACTGAGGCTGTAGACCCAGGACTGAGGCTTAGACCCAGGACTGAGGCTGTAGACCCAGGACTGAGGCTTAGACCCAGGACTGAGGCTGTAGACCCAGGACTGAGGCTGTAGACCCAGGACTGAGCTTAGACCCAGGACTGAGGCTGTAGACCCAGGACTGAGGCTGTAGACCCAGGACTGAGGCTGTAGACCCAGGACTGAGCTGTAGACCCAGGACTGAGGCTGTAGACCCAGGACTGAGGCTGTAGACCCAGGACTGAGGCTGTAGACCCAGGACTGAGGCTCTAGACCCAGGACTGAGGCTGTAGACCCAGGACTGAGGCTGTAGACCCAGGACTGAGGCTGTAGACCCAGGACTGAGGCTGTAGACCCAGGACTGAGGCTCTAGACCCAGGACTGAGGCTGTAGACCCAGGACTGAGGCTATAGACCCAGGGCTGAGGCTGTAGACCCAGGACTGAGGCTATAGACCCAGGACTAAAGCTCTGGACCCAGGACTGAGGTTGTAGACCCAGGACTGAGGCTTTAGACCCAGGGCTGAGGCTGTAGACCCAGGACTGAGGCTGTAGACCCAGGACTGAGGCTGTAGACCCAGGACTGAGGCTGTAGACCCAGGACTGAGGCTGTAGACCCAGGACTGAGGCTGTAGACCCAGGACTGAGGCTGTAGACCCAGGACTGAGGCTGTAGACCCAGGACTGAGGCTGTAGACCCAGGACTGAGGCTGTAGACCCAGGACTGAGGCTGTAGACCCAGGACTGAGGCTGTAGACCCAGGACTGAGGCTGTAGACCCAGGACTGAGGCTGTAGACCCAGGACTGAGGCTGTAGACCCAGGACTGAGGCTATAGACCCAGGACTGAGGCTCTAGACCCAGGACTGAGGTTGTAGACCCAGGACTGAGGTTTTAGACCCAGGGCTGAGGCTGTAGACCCAGGACTGAGGCTGTAGACCCAGGACTGAGGCTGTAGACCCAGGACTGAGGCTGTAGACCCAGGACTGAGGCTCTAGACCCAGGACTGAGGCTGTAGACCCAGGACTGAGGCTGTAGACCCAGGACTGAGGCTGTAGACCCAGGACTGAGGCTGTAGACCCAGGACTGAGGCTGTAGACCCAGGACTGAGCCTGTAGACCCAGGACTGAGGCTCTAGACCCAGGACTGAGGCTGTAGACCCAGGACTGAGGCTGTATCCCAGGACTGAGCCTGTAGACCCAGGACTGAGGCTGTAGACCCAGGACTGAGGCTCTAGACCCAGGACTGAGGCTGTAGACCCAGGACTGAGGCTGTAGACCCAGGACTGAGGCTGTAGACCCAGGACTGAGGCTATAGACCCAGGACTGAAGCTCTGGACCCAGGACTGAGGCTGTAGACCCAGGACTGAGGCTCGAGACCCAGGGCTGAGGCTGTAGACCCAGGACTGAGGCTGTAAACCCAGGACTGAGGCTATAGACCCAGGGCTGAGGTTGTAGACCAAGGACTGAGGTTTTAGACCCATGGCTGAGGCTGTAGACCCAGGACTGAGGCTGTAGACCCAGGACTGAGGTTTTAGACCCAGGGCTGAGGCTGTAGACCCAGGACTGAGGCTGTAGACCCAGGACTGAGGCTGTAGACACAGGACTGAGGCTATAGACCCAGGGCTGAGGTTGTAGACCCAGGACTGAGGCTTTAGACCCAGGATTGAGGCTGTGGACCCAGGACTGAAGCTCTGGACCCAGGACTGAGGCTATAGACCCAGGGCTGAGGTTGTAGACCCAGGACTGAGGTTTTAGACCCAGGGCTGAGGCTGTAGACCCAGGACTGAGGCTGTAGATCCAGGACTGAGGCTGTATCCCAGGACTGAGCCTGTAGACCCAGGACTGAGGCTCTAGACCCAGGACTGAGGCTGTAGACCCAGGACTGAGGCTGTATCCCAAGACTGAGCCTGTAGACCCAGGACTGAGGCTTTAGACCCAGGACTGAAGCTCTGGACCCAGGACTGAGGCTGTAGACCCAGGACTGAGGCTCTAGACCCAGGGCTGAGGCTGTAGACCCAGGACTGAGGCTATAGACCCAGGACTAAAGCTCTGGACCCAGGACTGAGGTTTTAGACCCAGGGCTGAGGCTGTAAACCCAGGACTGAGGCTATAGACCCAGGACTGAGGCTGTAGACCCAGGACTGAGGCTGTAGATCCAGGACTGAGGCTGTATCCCAGGACTGAGCCTGTAGACCCAGGACTGAGGCTCTAGACCCAGGACTGAGGCTGTAGACCCAGGACTGAGGCTGTAGACCCAGGACTGAGGCTCTAGACCCAGGACTGAGGCTTTAGACCCAGGATTGTGTTTGTGGACCCAGGACTGATGCTCTGGACCCAGGACTGAGGCTGTAGACCCAGGACTGAGGCTGTAGACCCAGGACTGAGGCTGTAAACCCAGGACTGAGGCTATAGACCCAGGGCTGAGGTTGTAGACCCAGGACTGAGGTTTTAGACCCATGGCTGAGGCTGTAGACCCAGGACTGAGGCTGTAGACCCAGGACTGAGGTTTTAGACCCAGGGCTGAGGCTGTAGACCCAGGACTGAGGCTGTAGACCCAGGACTGAGGCTGTAGACACAGGACTGAGGCTATAGACCCAGGGCTGAGGTTGTAGACCCAGGACTGAGGCTTTAGACCCAGGATTGAGGCTGTGGACCCAGGACTGAAGCTCTGGACCCAGGACTGAGGCTATAGACCCAGGGCTGAGGTTGTAGACCCAGGACTGAGGTTTTAGACCCAGGGCTGAGGCTGTAGACCCAGGACTGAGGCTGTAGATCCAGGACTGAGGCTGTATCCCAGGACTGAGCCTGTAGACCCAGGACTGAGGCTCTAGACCCAGGACTGAGGCTGTAGACCCAGGACTGAGGCTGTATCCCAGGACTGAGCCTGTAGACCCAGGACTGAGGCTTTAGACCCAGGACTGAAGCTCTGGACCCAGGACTGAGGCTGTAGACCCAGGACTGAGGCTCTAGACCCAGGGCTGAGGCTGTAGACCCAGGACTGAGGCTATAGACCCAGGACTAAAGCTCTGGACCCAGGACTGAGGTTTTAGACCCAGGGCTGAGGCTGTAAACCCAGGACTGAGGCTATAGACCCAGGACTGAGGCTGTAGACCCAGGACTGAGGCTGTAGATCCAGGACTGAGGCTGTATCCCAGGACTGAGCCTGTAGACCCAGGACTGAGGCTCTAGACCCAGGACTGAGGCTGTAGACCCAGGACTGAGGCTGTAGACCCAGGACTGAGGCTCTAGACCCAGGACTGAGGCTTTAGACCCAGGATTGTGTTTGTGGACCCAGGACTGATGCTCTGGACCCAGGACTGAGGCTGTAGACCCAGGACTGAGGCTGTAGACCCAGGACTGAGGCTGTAGACCCAGGACTGAGGCTCTAGACCCAGGACTGAGGCTCTAGACCCAGGACTGAGGCTGTAGACCCAGGACTGAGGCTTTAGACCCAGGAGTGAGGCTTTAGACCCAGGATTGAGGCTGTGGACCCAGGACTGAAGCTCTGGACCCAGGACTGAGGCTGTAGACCCAGGACTGAGGCTGTATTCCAGGACTGAGCCTGTAGACCCAGGACTGAGGCTGTAGACCCAGGACTGAGGCTCTAGACCCAGGACTGAGGCTTTAGACCCAGGATTTAGGCTGTGGACCCAGGACTGAAGCTCTGGACCCAGGACTGAGCCTCTACACCCAGGACTGAGGCTGTAGACCCAGGACTGAGGCTCTAGACCCAGGACTGAGGCTGTAGACCCAGGACTGAGGCTATAGACCCAGGGCTGAGGTTGTAGACCCAGGACTGAGGTTTTAGACCCATGGCTGAGGCTGTAGACCCAGGACTGAGGCTGTAGACCCAGGACTGAGGCTGTAGACCCAGGACTGAGGCTTTAGACCCAGGATTGAGGCTGTAGACCCAGGACTGAGGCTGTAGACCCAGGACTGAGCCTGTAGACCCAGGACTGATGCTCTAGACCCAGGACTGAGGCTGTAGACCCAGGACTGAGGCTCTAGACCCAGGACTGAGGCTGTAGACCCAGGACTGAGCCTGTAGACCCAGGACTGAGGCTTTAGACCCAGGATTGAGGCTGTGGACCCAGGACTGAAGCTCTGGACCCAGGACTGAGGCTGTAGACCCAGGACTGAGGCTGTAGACCCAGGACTGAGCCTGTAGACCCAGGACTGATGCTCTAGACCCAGGACTGAGGCTGTAGACCCAGGACTGAGGCTGTAGACCCAGGACTGAGGCTGTAGACCCCGGACTATGGCTGTAGACCCAGGACTGAGGCTGTAGACCCAGGACTGAGGCTATAGACCCAGGGCTGAGGCTATAGACCCAGGGCTGAGGCTGTAGACCCAGGACTGAGGCTCTAGACCCAGGACTGAGGCTGTAGACCCAGGACTGAGGCTGTAGACCCAGGACTAAGGCTGTAGACCCAGGACTGAGGCTGTAGACCCAGGGCTGAGGCTGTAGACCCAGGACTGAGGCTGTATCCCAGGACTGAGCCTGTAGACCCAGGACTGAGGCTCTAGACCCAGGACTGAGGCTCTAGACCCAGGACTGAGGCTGTAGACCCAGGACTGAGGCTATAGACCCAGGACTAAAGCTCTGGACCCAGGACTGAGGTTGTAGACCCAGGACTGAGGTTTTAGACCCAGCACTGAGGCTGTAGACCCAGGACGGAGGCTGTAGACCCAGGACTGAGGCTGTAGACCCAGGACTGAGGCTCTAGACCCAGGACTGAGGCTCTAGACCCAGGATTGAGGCTGTGGACCCAGGACTGAAGCTCTGGACCCAGGACTGAGGCTGTATCCCAGGACTGAGCCTGTAGACCCAGGACTGAGGCTCTAGACCCAGGACTGAGGCTCTAGACCCAGGACTGAGGCTCTAGACCCAGGACTGAGGCTATAGACCCAGGACTAAAGCTCTGGACCCAGGACTGAGGTTGTAGACCCAGGACTGAGGTTTTAGACCCAGGACTCAGGCTCTAGACCCAGGACTGAGGCTGTAGACCCAGGACTGAGGCTATAGACCCAGGACTAAAGCTCTGGACCCAGGACTGAGGCTGTACAGTAGACCCAGGACTGAGGCTCTAGACCCAGGACTGAGGCTGTGGACCCAGGACTGAGCCTGTAGACCCAGGACTGAGGCTCTAGACCCAGGACTGAGGCTGTAGACCCAGGACTGAGGCTGTAGACCCAGGACTGAAGCTCTGGACCCAGGACTGAGGCTGTAGACCCAGGACTGAAGCTCTAGACCCAGGACTGAGGCTGTGGACCCAGGACTGAAGCTCTGGACCCAGGACTGAGGCTGTAGACCCAGAACTGAGGCTGTAGACCCAGGACTGAGGCTGTAGACACAGGACTGAGGCTTTAGACCCAGGATTGAGGCTGTGGACCCAGGACTGAAGCTCTGGACCCAGGGAGAGGCTGTAGACCCAGGACTGAGGCTGTAGACCCAGGACTGAGCCTGTAGACCCAGGACTGATGCTCTAGACCCAGGACTGAGGCTGTAGACCCAGGACTGAGGCTGTAGACCCAGGACTGAGGCTGTAGACCCAGGACTGAGGCTGTAGACCCAGGACTGAGCCTGTAGACACAGGACTGAGGCTGTAGACCCAGGACTGAGCCTGTAGACACAGGACTGAGGCTTTAGACCCAGGATTGAGGCTGTGGACCCAGGACTGAAGCTCTGGACCCAGGACTGAGGCTGTAGACCCAGGACTGAGGCTGTAGACCCAGGACTGAGCCTGTAGACCCAGGACTGATGCTCTAGACCCAGGACTGAGGCTGTAGACCCAGGACTGAGGCTGTAGACCCAGGACTGAGGCTGTAGACCCAGGACTGAGGCTGTAGACCCAGGACTGAGGCTGTAGACCCAGGACTGAGCCTGTAGACCCAGGACTGATGCTCTAGACCCAGGACTGAGGCTATAGACCCAGGGCTGAGGCTATAGACCCAGGGCTGAGGCTGTAGACCCAGGACTGAGGCTCTAGACCCAGGACTGAGGCTGTAGACCCAGGACTGAGGCTGTAGACCCAGGACTAAGGCTGTAGACCCAGCACTGAGGCTGTAGACCCAGGGCTGAGGCTGTAGACCCAGGACTGAGGCTTTAGACCCAGGATTGAGGCTGTTGACCCAGGACTGAGGCTGTATCCCAGGACTGAGCCTGTAGACCCAGGACTGAGGCTCTAGACCCAGGACTGAGGCTGTAGACCCAGGACTGAGGCTGTAGACCCAGGACTGAGGCTGTAGACCCAGGACTGAGGCTGTAGACCCAGGACTGAGGCTATAGACCCAGGACTGAGGCTATAGACCCAGGGCTGAGGCTGTAGACCCAGGACTGAGGCTGTAGACCCAGGACTGAGGCTGTAGACCCAGGACTGAGGCTGTAGACCCAGGACTAAGGCTGTAGACCCAGGACTGAGGCTGTAGACCCAGGACTGAGGCTGTAGACCCAGGACTGAGGCTGTAGACCCAGGACTGA